TATGTGCCATAAAAAAACATCACCGCCAAGTGAATAGCACTTGGTGACGTTAACTGCTTGCGTGTACTCTGCACTGCTCACTGCAGCAATGGATATGCAAAAGTTTAACTTGTGCAGATTATAACGCACAGTGCAAGCAAGAGAGCAAACCAGTCTATTCTACTTATCAAAAATTTGGAAGGGGAGAAAGAGGATTTTCTTCAAATTATACAGTTGCACTGTGCTGAATTTGCTATGTTTAGCTGTGGATTAATGGCAGGATGTTCAACACTGAAGATAATCCCAAGAAAAAGATGAAATTCAGTATTTATTTTACTTGAGAGCTGAGACAATGAACTTAGGATAAGCAGCTGAATGGAAGGACGACCTGTTCTAGTCACCTCCGTAAGAACTAGAGACATTAAAAAACTCCCTTGTGAGAAATCTGCACTAATTCTCTTTGCAACCCACAGACAATTTCATTGGAACCGTTTCACTATTATTTAACGAAACCAAGAGTCTTAAACACGGGCAGAAAAACAAATATGGACTGACCAAGGAGAAAGTTAAACCAGCACTGAGTGTCTCAGCTCCACTTATTAACTTCATCACCAAAAGACACGGCTAGGCCTGCGCTGACTCAGAAAATGTACAAAAAGAGGCTCCTCAGTCGAACATGCCCACAGAACTTCATTAACTCTCCTTCTGATCCCAGAACAGTAGGATCTAAGCCAATATATTCTGCAACCATTTCCTTCCCAGCTAGTGCAAGCAGAGGTACTGACTTTGCTACACGCACTCCAGGATGCTGGTGAATGTCAGTCTGGTGAAAAATTTCTATATAACAGAGAAATGATGGTAATACTGGGCTACCTTTTTTTCTTTTTCATTTAATACCTGCATTTTATGTGACTACAGAGTTTTCAAACAGCTATATCATAACAGTCTGTTGCAAGTGTATTGGGTGTTTCAGTTTGCCAGACCTGTCATAATAAATTAATTACAGGATGTTGCAGAAGTGGCTGAGTTCCAGCAGCATCTTGCACAGTTTAATATAGACCTATTTCCCCATTTCGATGTATTTGTGGTTAGATAAATCCTCAGAAAATTTACAGCTGCTACACACTAGTTTATTATATTCCCTGCCTTTGCAGGCAATATAAATGCAACAAAAATTTGAAGTCTGCTCAGAGCATAGATTTTACTGATATTGCTTTACTGGTGTGGAAACATTTTTCCCCCTAAAAGTGGCATCTGCAGTTTCTGCTGATTGTTTGCATTTGAGCATCAGGACCTGTAAACTTGCTTGTTAGCCAAACACAGTGAAAATTTGTTTGGCTTGACAAAGTCCTCACAATCAGGTGGACCAAGTTTTATGTGAAGCGCGGAGCTGACATCTTCATCTACAACTGCGAGAGAGAAGATGTTTTCCCAGCCTTTAAAGTCAGCATACACTTAATTGCAGCCATGATGTTGTGGCTCAAAGCCTGTTCCTTGCCGATTTTGCTGGAGCTTTGAGAATAGGGCTCCATCTACTCCAAGCAGCTTGCAGGATGGGACTCCACGTAAATATCCCAGTGCTGGTAAGCAAAACCTTCTGAAGGGGAGGGCAGCAAGCAACCTGCATACTACAGATGAACAAAAGACAAAACTCTTGTCAAAACCACTGTGAGCAGAACACAATTACACATAAGAAAGTGATCGTATGACATTAAATGTTAGAAAGAGCAGCTTGATTCTTGAAGTTCCAATCTCTGCTGCAGCTGTTTTGCACCAGATGAAGTGGCTGGAGTGGACTGAATCAAGGCAGAGGTGCCTATAACAACAGACAACAACTCCAAAGTTGCCTCCTGAAAACCTGTACCAGAAATCAGGGAATGAAAGCTTCATCTCTCCTAACCGCTCTGCAAGTCATAGACTACACAGAACTTTGTTGGCTGTATCTCAGAGTTAGAACACCAGAGAGCTAAGAGTTACTGGAGAGACATAGAATGTTGTTCATGGGTTCTGAGAGTTCATCCAGAAAGTTTCTGTAAATGGCACAAAACAAATGTTTTAAAAAGTGAAGTGGTTAAATATCTGAATTTCTAAAGTCTAAAAAACATGACTGAAGCAACCAAAGCTCTGCTATAACACACCTACACGCTATCTTCTGTTCCTTCTTCTTAAGTTCCAATTTCTAATTGCCACATTTTTGCAAGTGTCCCCCAAGCAGCAGCTTTCTTCTCAAGTTGCTTATTTCCCTCTCTCAGACCTCCTCTTGTTTCTATTCCCTACACGCAGTTTTGTTCCTAAAGCAAGTCTGCTAAACTCCAAGTAATAAACCCCCTTGAACTAACAGAGTATATTTTCACAAGCCCAGGTGTACAGCTATAAGTTAATTTGTTTGAAATATGCTGTATGGACATTGGACAGAATGCTAAGGGAAAAACCCTGGAGTACCAACATTTACATGAATCTTCCTGGCCCCCCTCCACTAGTCAGCAAATACTTCTATCCCCTCCCAATTTCCACGTCCATAAAATAGGTTGCACTGCATACATACTAATTTCATACGTGCTGGAAAAGGATCATTAAAAAAACCCATCACTCTTTGTGTTTACCAAACAAGTGTTTTTGCTCTAGCCTGTTCCCGCCTTAAACGAAGTATTTCCTATTCACCTGAGTAATTAGAGCAGAAGGATGTAGTGAATGAAGTGCCTCATTATCAAGTTTGCATCCACGGTCCCCGCAGAATGACTACCATGCCGGCTATTTTTCATAGCTGTCTGCTTTTGCTTGCAATGGGCTATTGTTAACCCTAAATGATCCTGACATTCAATTCTCCGTCAGACAATTGCGTCCAGCCGGCAGATTTAGTTCACTAGTCAACAGAGACTTTCGGTTGTCATGTTCCTCTGTGTTCTCATTAGCCCTTGTTTGACTGTGATCCATCTCCTACTGCCTTCTGAATTAAGTGATGCTACAAATACACTTATTATGTTTTATGATGTCTGTTCCTCAAATTATTTTAAGGAAAAAACTAAATGCAATTTGATGGCTATTGGGAAGCACAGGAAAAACACGGCCACACATTTTCTTCTGCGTTGCTGATTTACACACAGTTCTCGATATCTCTGCCCTATCATAAAAACATAATAGCAACTCTATGGTGTAACCACACACACAAAACCTACAAACACCAGAACAATGAAAGACCCACAATTCTGCTATCGCCAGGCAGCTATAAATATCTAATATTCCCACTTTTTAAAACAACATTTTATCTGGTTTATTCCAGCAATGAACTCATTTCTCCCTCTAAGGAAGTCTCACAGAGACCTTCATAACTCTTGCATTTTAATTCACACATTGTAGCTCAGGGAGCAATTTTGCAGGACAATCACAATGCTTCATTTAAGAGAGGAAAAATTTTCAGTAGGCAATCTGGATCCTTCTGGAATTCTTTTCTTCCACTGAAATTTAAGTCCTCTAAGTACTTAGAAAATATTCAGCAAAATGTACACGATATTCATCAGGATAATTCACTGTAAAGTGATTTTAGAAAATATGTAGATTGCATCAATATAGAAACAAGACGCAATATATAAAGTTTTTAAATTAAAACCTTCTTTTTAAACCATTACACTAATCTAAAGTGTTTAAAAGTTTTATCCTTTTTTGTAAATTTAAAACCGCAACAGCAATGCCTGTAGAATAGACTCTACTAATACTGAAAACCAGTTCTTCTAAAAATGAATGTATCAGCCGTAATTCTGAATAAAAGGTAAAAACTATCTTTGACATTGTGCCACGCTCATAATTTGCTAAAGAGATTTTAGGGTGAAGGCTCTAATTTTAATACTGAAGGGTGATGGACTTTTTTAAATTTCAGATATTTTTGTTCCTTTTCTGTTCAGAAAACTAGCACCACAGTGACACTGTGCATAAAGGAAAAGAAGTCTCTAACCAACCTTGTGGTAGGGAAAAAAAATTACAGAAGCAAAACAAAAGCTATTGCAATTACAAGAAAACATTATGAAAAGTTTATTTTCAACTCCTGCATTTTCATGTTTGGCTCTTATCTGATTCCTTCTGCTTAATTGTTATTTGGAACTGTGCCTTGGAAGACACTACTGCTGCCTCTCCTCTCAATTTGGAAAGTGTGGCAAAGCAGCTCTATTCAGCTTCAGAGCAGTGAACATAATTGGAGCCCTAGTTCGCAAGCATGAAAGGAGGTGCTGTGCCTTTGATTAGAACTTCCATCTCTCTGTGGTGTTTATCTGAAGTGTTATTTCTGTCTTCAGTGTCGACAATGGCAAATTAACATTTTACAATGCTTTCCAATGAGCTCCCAGATCTTGGCTACTGCTCAGCTCTCCCTGACGTGGAGCCTGATGTCACACTCTGCCCTTGTTTTAAATGTGACCCAGGACATTTTAAGAAATGTTAAGATGTCGAGATTTTTCCCCTTTATAAAATTTCTAAATGCCACATGTCACAGAGAATGATGAGCTGAAACACACTGCAGGGACATTAGAGGTGGGGAGTATTGACAGAATCAGGCAGCCCCAGGACTGAGATAATTTTACACCACCTCTGACTGGGAAAAGAGACATTACTAAGTTTCCAGTACACATATGCAAGCCCCATTTAGGGCAGGGCTCCATGCACACACTCCAGGCAGAGCAAAGTTAGGACTGCTGGCAAATAACAGCTACCAGTGGGGTGAAAAGAGATGATTTGCTGCTGTGCTTTACTTGAAAGAAAAAAGTTTACAGATTTTTCTGGCTTCAAAACATGTGAAAGGAAGATATTACAATATACAGCAACTAGTCTTCTGCATCTGGGTGCATTTCACACATCAGTGCCCACCATTGTTATTTTCACTTCTTTTTTTAATGGAATCAAGTGTCCTGTCTACTAAATAAGGGCTTTCTAATTTTATGTTATTTATTGCTTCAGAGGGGGAGGAGAAAGAATTTCCTAGCAGAGTAAAAATGAACTGGACATCATCAGCCAAAAAAAGTACCAATACTAACTGATAGAAAGTGTTTTGTTTAATATAAAACATAAATTATTTAACACCATAGATAATTAGTGAAGTCATTAATAAAAGTTCACAGAATAATACTCCAGTAAAAAAATAGATTAATGACGCTTGTAAGTGAATAAGGACTACAAGTAAAACAAACAGCACGGCTGGACATGAAATATTTCATTCAGACAAAAGAAAGTATATTTGGCAAGACTGCTGCCAAAGCAGCCAGGAACTCTGACAAAACTGCAATGAATCTTTACTATGTGCAGTACACCTCATTTGAAAAATACAACTGCCTGGAATTTGCAACACTAATTTATTTTGATAAGAACAAGTAGTCCTACTGAAGACATAGTTGCATAGGTAGTTACTCCACAGTTCCCTTCAGAGCTGCAAAATGCAGTCCAAACAGATATTTGATGTCAGGAAAATATTTTTTGAAAGCTTGTGTTTTCAGGTAGACCTTAATGTCAACACTCCTTTGGTATTTCACCATTCTGAATACTCTTCTATTTTACTTATAGCACACTTTAAAATGCAAATTTAATAACTTACATAGTGGTTGGGCTTGTTTTGCTCTAGATCACACTTTTTCACTTGATTCTTTGCTCCCAATGGATTGATCTACAGCCTACATAAATGCCTAAGAGACGGTTTAGTGAGATACCAAATTAGGAAACATTGTATTTGACAGTTTCAGGTTTTTTTTCCAGTCCAGTGAGGAGCTGAACCTCCACCTTCTGTTGATTTCAAGGAACCCAGGGCAAAAGTCATCCAAAACAGGTTTGCACCATTGATAAGTCACAACTGGTACCATTTTGCATATTTAAGTATTTTAATTTCTTTGTTTGTTGTTAATCCTAGAAGAGAGATCATAATTGCAGCCTTCAACGCATGTAATGAACATTGCCCCAGTATTCAGAAATAAATTATGCCTCTGCGTCATGGCACTCGGGCTCAAAGGCAATATTTGTCCTTCCATTTGTGCTTAAGTTTGAGCCTCTCACTGCCTTTTTCTTCTTCTTCCTCAATTCCACCCCACGGGATGTAGGTTCGTTTTCAACACCATTAGTTGTAACTGATGACAGAGGAGTATCGACACTCATTAAGTTGTGCTGATTTTCTCTCTCATTCCTTTGTATTCTTTTCTTCTTTTTCTTTGTACCTCTAGAGGAAGGTGGATATAAAAAGAGTAAAAGAAACACAAAGTTAGCCCAAATTTAGAGCTTTTTCCACCTACAGCTGATGTGTTAGAGCAATTGTCTGCCTGTCCTCTTGAGCACAATGCTGAAACAACTACAAAAACTACTGTTCCACAGCAGAACAAAGACAGAAAAACCATGAAGACAAAATATGAGACCACTCCACTAGTCTACTTTTTATCATAGCATTGCTTTGAAAAGAACAGCTCATGATCTTAAAAATCAGTTTGTCTTGATCAATAGACGACAGATGTAATTAAAAATTACAAATTTCCAGTCTCCTCCTCTCATAAAAGCAATTGGGTTTTTTTTTCATTTTCCTAAGCTCAGACACTAAAATGCTTACAATTAAGGAGAGATTCCTGGTTTATTTATGCAACAAGAATGAGACAGGCAGTCAAAGTATGTAAGATTAGTTTTTCCATTTTAATTTACCTGAATGAGGGCAGAGTCAGAAATTACTCTAATGTCTATTTATGCTTACAGTGCCAAAAGGACCAGCCAAGCTCCTGTATCCCAGCTGATGCCTCTAACTGGTCTTGCACATAATGGCAGAGATTTTGCAGATGTTACACCACGTCTACCATGAATTCCCACTCTTGGCAGAAAATGTAACTTTATTTAATTATAAATATGTAACAATACTTCAACTCTAACCTTACCAAGGAAGGTATTGCCTTGGCTCAAAATTTGCTTTGTGCCTAGCACAAAAGGGTCTTGGCTTATGACCTGAACTGTTTAATGCTGCTGAAACACATAAGCAAATGGATAAATCAAGACTGAAGAATGTAATGTGTGTCTTTTCCACAAAAATGGTGTTACAAGTTACACTGCTGATGACACTGTCCTAATTTAATCAGATTTTATAGATGAAAATGCTTACACATTAGCCTTGCTAATGAACTGATGAATATCTGCCTGTAGTTGGAACTGTTTTTTAGGCTAAACTGTATACTTATGAATATGGGGATTGCTGCAGCTCTAGTACTGGAACATCCTAAGGAAAAGGTTTGGGAGTCTAAGACTCTCTGTGTTAGGATTCCTAGAACAATTTGAGGAGTATTGCTGCATGAGGAAATTAGGGTACAAAGTCATAATTATTCAGTGTTATAAGTACCAATGTACCAAACCCAGTGTTCAGCTGGGTCTTGTGTAAATTTATGCAGAGCACTACCTAGTGCAGCTCAAGAAAACCGTAAAATGGGAACAAACCTAAGGACATATTGGCTGTGCTGACAAGTAGGAGCTGATCATTAATATTCAAAGGGTAAGACTACTACACAATTTCCAACATAAAGCTACTCTAATTTTTAGAAGAAGCTTTCATCTTTTTATTATTTGAACATCAGATGTGATGATGTATCAAAACTTAGATTAAAATTAATCAACATAATTTCTCTATTTCTTCTAGAATCTGCAGAAGACACATCAACTGCTTGGCTAAGATAAAAGTCTACTACCATCTTGTATAAAATTTGTTTTCCTATTGCAAAACTGTATTTTCCACCCAGAAGTTCTCAAAAAATAGACATTTCATAAGGAACTTGCCATTCATGTTCTTTTACAGCAGGTATTGTGGCTGTAGCTCTAATTAGCAAACCAGCAATCATTCATTTGGCTTAGTGAGTTGTGCAGGTGTTAAAGTTTCACTTCTCCATACTGGAAGTGTGTACTTGGCAAACTCTTAATTCTTAGGAATAATGCAGTAAATAAATTTCATGTCATATACATCAACGTGACATGAATATTCAGTGCATTTTCATAGAAAACAGGAAAGTAACAGCATGTTTTAGGTGGAGCAACTATAAGTACAGATTGGACTGGATCTCAAGTCATGTTGATATTGTTAGATACTGAAATACAAACCTTTTCCAGTTAAGACGGCAACACTTGCATGTATGTAAATTTTTAAGGATATTTCAAGACACATTGACTGCAGTGAGCAAGAAAACCAGAGTCCTGGCATGTCATGTTTTCGGTAAACTAAAGTGAGAGTTTTCAGGAAAAAAAGGCAGCCCTGTTTCTCAGCTATTTTATTATCTGATGTGTGCTGTATAAATACCTATAAACAGAAATACTGACAGTTTTTCAAACTAGTGACATCAGCAGTGTCAGAGGATTCTTTCCTAGCTCTCAAAATAAGGCAACAGCTTGCAGTCTTTTCTGAAAAAAAACCTGGTACATTTGGTCACTGCTGAAGAGCTATGACACGAAGCATGAATGAATGCAGGCTGGAACGTCCACGATGCTCCTGCTACCTACACCTCAGGATGAGGGAGCACATTCCAGTGACTGCATGTAGATGTCATCTCTTACCTTTTTAAAATGTAACTGAAGTGATTTTTGGGCTCTGTTCCTCCAGTGTGACATTTGCTCAGGTTAGCCCTAGTTTCCATTAAAATGAACATGTGTATTTGGTATGAATCAAAATTCTTGAATTTTCTTAAATTATTTGTGATTTCACATTTTAAATCTGTGATCCCACATTTTTCAGTGGATGCCCTGGAAAAATCACTCAAAATAATTGTTTCCTGAAGTCCTACCAATGGGAGTTGAGTCATCCCAAATTTTTGATACTGACTTCTAACGGACTATGTCAACCGTCACAGCAACTGTGCTTTCAAGGCATTTCCTTCCTTAATTTGTACATATATAATATGCATATATATATATACACACACATATATAATATGTACAGCTAGAATAGTTGTGTCCAAAATTCAACACTGAATTTTGCCAATGCATAGTTGTACAGCTCACTCCTCATCACACTTGAGGGTTAAACTTTCCACTCACAATTTATTTTCAAATCTAGATACAGCTGGAGACGCAAAATTTCAGATTTAAAGGCAGGTTAAAATGAGGTATGTATCTGCATCTACAGCGTAATGTACAAACTATTTATATGAGGAGGGAACCAGTCTGGAAAATGATCAGTGAAATAACTTTGGTTAGGTGACAGATGCAATGGCAAACATGGGAAGTATTTTCAGATATCAATTTTTGAAGCAAAAATGGTTGCAAAAGTTAAAGATATTGTGGGAGCTCCTGTTCAAAATGCTGATATCTCGTCTGATTACAACTTCCATGCATCAGAGAGCTACGATTTTTAAGAAATGCAAGTGCCACCACCAAAGGTGCTGCTGGCATCTTCTTAGAATGTGAAAACCTTTTGGAATTTACATTAATTAACTTCCAGAAGGTGGAAAAATAGTTTTCAGTCAGCAGCAATAAATCCTCATACATAACTAAGGAATGCCAGTGAGCAACCACATATCCCTGAATTTTGACTGTCATGTACATTGGAGTCCTTGCTCTTCTGGGGATGTGCATATGTATATGAACTGTTACTTTCACATTTTGGGTGTGAAGAAGTCTCTCACTGAACACCCTAAAGCTAACTTCTTGTTTTACTTGAAAAAAAAAATAACCCTTCCAACATTTCTCACAGTTTTCAAACAGCAGTTGCAGGAGTAACACTGCAAATTGTTTTAAGCTTGCTTACTGTGTTGCAGGTGAGTCACTATCTGTGTCATGTTTGGAGATAAATTTCAGGTCCCCTGACTTACTGGTGACTGGTGACATCTGTAAAAGAAACAAAAAAAGCAGGAAGGTAAAAAGATGATAGACAACAGGGCCAACACATGTGCATAGAAAACCCACCAGCTTCCTGAATAAGGAGAGAATATACCTCGTTTGAAAAAGAATGTCTATCAGCCATAAAATGTTAACTCCTATGTGGTTACAAACAAGGAAATAGTACCCTGCTTAAAAAATAAAAAAGCTACTTGCAAATAAAAGACAGTTTTCAGGTATGTGTAGAAACAAGAGGTTATGAATCTGCTTGAAGACAGCTTAAAATATACATAATTTTTAAAGAATTGCTATTTGTGCTACTACAAGTGAAAAAGCAGAACGCTATAAAGCCTTCTTATTGCATAGTTTTCACAAGAAAAACCTGTCTTTTTTAAGCCTGCAAGTGTCATTCAAGAGCAGTTCAAATAACTCCAGGTTACTTTGTAAATCAGAGCTAAAAGGATTTCCCAAATCTGGAAAAGTAAATTCTCTCATTTCCATAGTAATTAGAGGGTCTCTGTACAACTTGCTCCCTCTACAAACAAACCTAATTCTAACAGATCTCAAACTTGATGAAAGAATTCCCATAAGGAAATGTGAATGTCCTTCCTGAATCTTCAGGGACAGGTTATTTTATTAGTTTAACATTATTTTTCTGCTGACTTAGAATAAACAAGGTCAAGCTCCCACTGACTTACTGAATTCATACATTTACACTGCCCACAACAACTATGTTCAAATATTAGTCATTAGAATTAGTCTGCTGTAAAAACACAAGATTGCTGGATTAGTTTAGACAAAAGTCAGCCTATTAGAATACAATAATGTAGCACTGGCAGGGCTAGGAAGAAAAACCATCTACTTCACACAGAAAATCCTTGTTAATACAGTAATAAACTTGAGACTAAGTCAATGGTAAAAGTAAACACAAAAGAAGGAAATACAATACCACTGATATGAAAATACAAGGGAGTGTTGTAAAGGGAATGGCTCCAAGTAATTAATACTTCCTTCAGCATTTATAACCTTGTGGTTCCTTGCCATACACAATCATGAATTCACTCTGCTTGCAGTCAAAACAAAATCTTTCTCAGAAAATCCTGTATGAATGATGTTGAACCATTTTTACCCACCTTTTTGAGTAAATATTACAGAATCTTCTCACTGGAATAATACTATAATCAAATATGAATCATCTCAAAGAATGGCAGAGTAGAATTCACTAAAGTGCTACTACAGAAGACCGACCTCATAAAAAACAGACAAGATTTTTTACACTCTCAGACACCTAAACACAGAAAATTATCCTTGTTTTACAGATAAAATATTAAAGTATCCCCTAAATTAAGCTGCTTAACTGAAAGTTCTTATGATATTTTAAAAAGAAATCATCACATAACCTTTCATATATTAAAGCACAGCTTTTTAGTATGAGTACCAAGGAAAGCAGAGCACACAATTGGAGACATTTGAATAGCTGTTCATCTCACATGGCAACTCATGAGAATTCCTAGGTCTGTGGAGACAGACACCCAACACTCACAATATTGTTTATAACAGCTTTCTTACTTCATTCCTACAAACTTTCAAGCACGTTACAAAGAAGGACCTAGATACTAGATCTTTTTGAAGCAGACTAGGTAGGAACTGCCACCACCTCCTCTTGTCTGTCCTACACACTTTTCTATCCCTCAGTCTACTCCTTTACCTTTTCCCAACCTAGTGATGTAAGAAGCAGCAGTACTGAAGAAACGAGGGACCAGTGGCAAATGCAAGTAGGCAGTGCAGGAGCTGGTGAAGCAAGGGGATGAAGCATCAGGAGGAAGAAGTGGAGGCTGGCAAAACATGCAGGAGATATTTGGCAAAGGAGGTATGGTAATACATATTGGGAACTCACTAAGGATACATCAATGTAAGGAGCAAGCCAGGGAAGGCTGCAGTATGGGGGAACTGAGGAGGCTGTTGAGCTCATCTTTGTTCATTCCTAAACTTCTCGACCACTTGTTATGCATGGGCAGATCTCCCAGGAAGCTCCAAACAGCTCTGCACTATCATCACTGCCTCTGTACTAAGATGCAGTAAAGCTGGTGCTGGAACAGGCATGGTATGAGCCATGACACTCCTCCAGATTGCAGAGCCCAAATATTCATATAGCATTATTAGGGCAGTGCTTGCTTTAAAGAAAAACACTCTAACATTTCAGATACTTATGTATATTTTTCTGTTCACAAGAACAAATACTGAATACAGTACAAAAAATTAGCTCATTTGTACAGCGCCACTAATGGGTGTTTAATTTTGTTGCCATGATCTAATTTTCTCCCAGTTTGTGAAATATAGCCCACCAGAATAAGAGAACATTAGTCCATGTCAACTGTAGAAGCTTGGATTTTTCTCAAGGTTTTCTAAAGGTTTTTGCTTTATGATCATATAAATGAAAGCTGTAATAAAGTACATATTCTCCTTTTCTAAATGGCTTGCCTGCTTTACAGCTCTTTTGTTTTATATTTAACATTCTCTCTTGCTGCCACATAATAAGCAACCAAGGCAATATAAATAAAGGCAAAATACACAAAAGCATATCAAGTTCCTGATTCCTGCTATAGAATCCACAGCAGTAAATCAAGCACTAAACCCTTCCTGTGCAAATAGTATGTGCAATCAGGTATTTCAGAACACACTTTCTAAAAGAACCTAGAGCAGAGGGCATCTAAAGGAAATACTAAGGACATCATCTCATCCCAAATCTATGTTTTTGGTAGTACTTTCCTCTAGGCTGTGCAGAGCTGTCCTTAATACTGATGGTCTGCAGAGGTCCTCTAGCACACTAGTAGGTAGATGGACAGAATGGAGTGCTGCAGGAAATCTATTCAGATGATTCAAGCCATGACAGTAAATGAGTTTGCTCTATAACCTACAGAGGAACTCTCATAGAAGCTGTTTCTACAGAACTTCATCTAATTAAAAACTCATTGGATCACAGATGGCAAGAATGAACATGTCTCTGTGCCTTTTCAGACTCGTCTTTAGGACACTACACTCAGTACTAAGTCTGTATTTTGTTTTCTATTACGCAGTCCATGGATAAAAGATTCACAGCCATGTATTTAACTACCCAAAACTATGCCAATGCCTGCTGTCAAAACTGTTCTAACAAGTCAAGTTTGGGAGAAATGCAACACCACACCTCACTCATCATTTTCTTCCCTGCTATTCTGCACCCATCCACACATTTCCCCATTAAATGAACAACTGGCAGAGACCTTCACTAGCAGAATTGCATTTATTTCTTTTGCCATGATATTCCTATTTAAAATGCAATTAACTTACAATTGTTTTTTCTGCTCTTTAGGGTTTTTAAAGAACAAGCCTATCTAAATCAGACTGACCATATTCTGGCTCTTATATCTAGCCGTATTAGATTAGTTGTGAGAATCTAGCAGAACCATGGCTCTGTATACAAGACAGACATTGGCATGAATTTCTCTCTTTTGCATAAAAGGGTAAAAACTGTAGTCATGGCTGAACACCAGCAAATACTGCATTTCAGAAATCAAATCCACTATGTGCATTTTTAAGGCTTAACAAAAGGAGGAGGAGGAAGAGTGGAGACAAGATACTTTAGATTGAAGCAGTATGGCTTAGAACACCTGTTTTCAGTCTTGACAATTTGGCCTCTGGGAATTTATATGGGATCACAGCTTTGCATTAACATTTGCATAAAAAAAAGTTCAATTCTCTTCAGAAAGAGGTTATGAGGACCCAAGGAGAAAAATGGGGAAGAGAGAAGTTAACTTGCTCCTGAGATAATATGTGTTAGTCAACAGCATTTTTGGTTCTGCTTGACCAGCTCAGTGGCTTAGCCTGATTCTTCCTATGTTTAAACAGACTGGTCACCTACAGTAAATGTCTATGCATGCAATTTCAATAAAACAGATATTAATTTGCTTATAAACCAGATACCTTCTCTTTCAATGACTCAAGTAATACTATAGACATAGGCATAAATATTTTTTGAGACAGAACATGTAGCTACCAGCTTACAAATAAAGTAGCACCACAAATGCTTGAGAGAGAGTAATTCAACTTGCATGTGCAGCTGACACTCTGGAGGGAAGGGATGCCAGAGGGACCTCGAGAAGCTTGAGAGCTGGGTCTATGCAAACATCATGAAGTTCAATGAAGTAAAGTACAAAGCCCTATACCTGGGTTGTGGCAATCCCAGACACACCTACGGGCTGGGCAGAGAAGTGACTGAGTGCAGCCTTGTGGAGAAGGATTTGGGGGTAATGGCTGGTGACAAAGTCAACATGAGCCAGCCATGTGTGCTCATAGCCCAGAAGGCCAAACAAATCCCAGGCTGTATCCAAAGGAGTGTGGCCAGCAGGTCATAGGAGGTGATTCAGCACCTCTGCTCTGCTCTTGTGAGACCCCACCTGCAGTGCTGTGCCCAGTTCTGGACATGGAACTGTTAAAGTCCAGAGAAAGGTCATGAAGTTGATTAGAGGACTGGAGCACCATCCCTACAAAGACAGGCTAAGAAAGTTTGGGCTGTTCAGCCTGGGGAAGAGAAGGTTGTGTGGAGACCTCACAACCTTTCAGTATCTGACAGGGGCCTACAGAGAAGCTGGAGAGGGACTCTTTTTCAGTGTCCTGATTTCAGCCAGGGCAGGGTTAAATTTTGTCCAATAGCTGGGAGAGGCCCAGCCAGGACCCAGATGTGATACATCATTGTATGTGATACATCATTGCCAGGGGTGGGGGAAAAAGGATTCTCTTGGAGAAGGATTTCTTCCAGTCAGAAACTTGATGTGGGGAAGCCATCAAGTTATTAATTTATTGCAGCAGGCTCCACAGAGAGCATCTTTGGATGTGAATCACTCTCTCTTTTGCGCACTTTTTTCATTAACACTGCTGATGTTACTGTTCATTTCCTTATCTCATTGCTGTTTACGGTAAATTTTTCTTATCACAGCCCAGGATGTTCACCTTTTGTGCCTCCAATTCTC